CTTAGGGACACTGGAAGGATGTGCATCCCCTGCCCCTGGAGAGAGTCAATGTGGTAAAAGTCTATTATTCATGGATCAATTTTCCAGGATATTTAGAGTACGGTTTCTTTTCATCTTTTTGCTGCCTGCTCTTTAGCCACTACTCTCTAGTCTTCACCAGAGGCAACAAAAACTAGTTAAAATTCACACAGGTCTGACTCTTACTTCTTCATAACTTTGATAAGTGGTTAAGTGAGGAAATGAAACAGGAACGCACCAGGTGGATTTGCTGGGGAACTCAACAGGTCCATACCCAGTGCTCTGAGCTGGGTTAAGGGGCAGAGAACCTAGGCAGAGTCTGGGGTGCCAATAAAGATGGGATCTAAATGTGAACCATAAAATGAGAGATGGAACATTGCATAGAGCAGCCTGTGGAGGGAGGGAGACACCCAAGCCTGAGTATGATTAAATAATGACAGAGAGTCACTAGTAGCATTTCCAAAGGAAGTTAGGTTGTGCTATTCCCAATATATTTGACACTTTTTTCATGGCTCAAGTATGTACACGCCCCGTACTATGTGCCACAAGGAAGCTCACCCTCATGGAGCTTCCTGTGGTCAGAATGTCGGGGTAAAGCCTGTGTTTAAAAAAAAAAAAAAGGAATAGGAAGGTGCCATGAAGCTGTCCTCCAAATCTCAGAAATGAAATAAAGACAAATTAAAATGTCAGGAATACTGTCATTTGGAAAAATAATTAGGCATGTGTAAAGAGCTTCAAAGTGTTCATATTCTATGTAACAACTCCAGCTCTAGGAAAATAACCTCAAATGCAAATACAGTTTTATGTAGAATTTTTATAGATCTCTAAAATCCATAAGATCGATATACAAAGATGTATGTTGCATCATTATTTATAACCGTGAAAATCTTGAAGCAATATGTGTCTAACAGCAGCAGCATGGTTAAGTAAATTTTGGTGTAACTAGAATATGAGGTTGCCTTTAAAGATGATGTTTCTATAAGATTTTAAGGAAAATGTGTTTGCTATCATAAGGAGTAAAAAAAAAAGCAATTTTACAGTGATGTCTCAGCTATGTGAACCAAAGTGGAAATAAAAATATGCTAAAATATTAGCAATTGATATTTACGGATTGAACTATGCATGTTTTTTATTGTATCCTCTGAATCTGCAGAGTCACATGGGCAGCCATAAGCCATATGTGGCTATATAAATTGAAATTAATTAAAATGAAATTAAAAATCCAGGTCTTCACTTGGACCAACCACATTTCAAGTTCTTAAAAAGTCTCATGGAGCTAGTGGCTACTATAGTTGACAGTACAATATAGAACACTTCCATCATTATAGAAAGTTCTATTGCACAGGCACTGCTCCAGAGTATTCTCTAATTAGAGTTCCTCTAATTTTCGATGAAGGCCATGAGCTATTTTTATAATCAGAAAAAAGGAATAACAAAGTCAAGATGACTTGACTATAGAAAACCCAGGAAATTATTTGAGGAATGGCAAAACAGAATCAAGGTGAACTTGTATTTTAAGGACTTCAGTGAGAGAAATTCAGTACAATCAATAATATTGTTCTCAACTTAAGTACAGGAAAGGTGTATTAACTGGGAGAGGAAGGGTCCACATATGACCCAGAAAAAAGGAGCTCAAAGAGGTAGGATTGGCCAGTGTGCCCCAGGAAGGTTGTCATGGCAGGGAGAAAACCCTACGATATGGGTTGATGCTTCAGACGACAACATTTCAACAGCTCCAGTAAAAGGTTATCCAGCAAACCCTTTTGTTGGCTCCCACTCTCAACCTGATGCCCCAGACTTTAGAGGCTGCTAGTGTCCACTGACACCTGCATCTCCTCTCCTAAAATAGCTAAACAAGTGTCCTGGATCCTTCTTGCCTCTTGGTGGGAACATTTGACTCATCTGGACAATGGGTGGGAGCAGGCAGGATGCACATCACCTTCAGTTCTTGTCAAAAAAAGATCTACATAATCTTCCATGCCCTTGCTTTCTCTGCTTTCTGTGTGTCTATTGGAGAAGGACTCCAAGAGGACAGAACCACAGAATGAAATAAGCCCCAATCCCTGAGTTTCTGTTTGGCGATCCATGAGAGCTGCCAGAATGGAAATATCTGCAATGGATTTGAGGCAAGAAATAAAGCTTTGCTGGGCTACCCCAGGGAAATTTGGGGGTTTGTGATATAGTAGCAGTGGTACTTATTCTAACATATAAATTCTAATTTGATCTTCTACGCAGAATGTGTTAATGCAGCAGGTCTCGTGACTTAAACCTTGCATGCCTTTAGGGGAGCCTAGAACCATGACTGACCTTCAGCCAATCTCCAAGAATGTAACCCTTGGAATGTTCTTTATGTGACTGACGGATGATGTTGTTTTGTGCTCCAAAAGCAATGGGTGGTCATGGGGATCCCCAAATACCTCCCACCTGTGGGAGGTACAGGCTCCAGTGTGGAACAAAGAAGCCACAGGGATGAAAGGCACAACATAGGGAATACAGTCAATGGTATTGTAATAGTGTTGTAGGGTCACAGAGGGCGGCTACACTTGCGGTGAGCACAGCGTAACACAGAGACTTGTGGAATCACTATGCCACACACCTCAAACTAACATTTTGTGTCAACTACACTTCAAGTAAAAAAAAGAAAAAACAAACAAAAAAACTAAACAAAACCTGAACAACAAAATACCTCCCACATTAAGATCCTTCTCCAGGAAAATGGAGCACAAATTGTCCAGAATAAGTATACTTTTTATCTGGCACTTGTATATCTTACTACCATCTACTGACACTCTAGCACAGACACCAAACTCCTGTGAATTTGGTTGATTATGAGTCCCTTCGTAAGTGCCTGACTGACAACAATGTCACTCATAAAATCCTTCGGAAGATTATCTGGAACCCGGTGACCACCTAACGGATGATGTCCTTTCAGTGGCCAACATGGAGGGCATTTCTTCAGTGTCTCTCTTATATGCATCACTTAAGAAGATGAAACAAATTCAAGATTTAGGACAAGGGCCATGAGTGCGATAGAAAGAAAGGCTATGGAGAGAGGCCCCATTTGGTGATGGTGATGGGGAGGGTCCAGAGAGGAATTCTGAATGAGACACACCTGGAAGAAGGGACATCATTTCCAATGGGAGAGTGACAGAATGTGTGCCTCTGAGGCAGAGTAGTCTGCCTCTGAAGGAGATCACCTTCAGGGACAATGACTCCGAGGGGCACTGGCTTGGCTCTCTGCAATGTCTGAGACAGCAAGTAGTCTGGGAGGGATGAGGTTTAGAGTGCACTGTTGGGGGCTATTGAAGAACTGGCCTTCCCAGTGGATATCTGTTTACATTACAATTAGCCAAGGCTAAGGGGTCCTTATACCTTAGGGCAGGATTGAAACTCATGCTGCTGAATCTCTCATAAAAGTCATCAAAAACATCATTTTCTAAATCCATATTGTCATGTAAGTTTGAATATCATCATTTTTTTATTGTCTGATGAGCACCCACATGATCTGTCCCTGCCTAGCCTCCTAACTGCCTCTCAAACCATGGGACCCTCCCCTATGTGCACTCTATTCCACTTACACTGGACTTGCTTCTGTCTCTCCAACATGCCAAGTGCATCTCTGCCTCAGGGCCTTTGCACTGGCTGTTCCTTCTGCCCGGAATGCTCCACACTGCCCCAATTTCCCCCTGGCTGGTTCTCTCTAGTTATTCAGATTTCATGTCATAGTTACCTCCTGAAAGCAGCTTCCCCCCCAAGGGAATGTGGCCTCTCTCACCATGTCATTACCCAATTTCACTGACAACAGAGCAGAGATCTTCACTCCTTAGAACACATTCTGCTTCTTTCCATCTTCTTGTGCTTATCTTTACCCTCTGGTGAAATTTCTCAGGCAGTGGGTAACTTCAGATGAACCAAAAACACGTGGACTGTCTGCATGGATTTCAATTTCATTGCAACTGTCTGGATACCTTCCCTGGTTGAAACAGCCATTCGTCAAGCAACTTGGAAGACAACCGTCATCTGATAAAATGAGCCACAGTATTTTCTACAGGATATAACATTGCTTAACAACAAATTGTGCAGATAGACTAAGGTAATGCTTGGCAGCACATTTGGAGAAACACCAGCAGTGGGTTGGGTCTAACAAATTTGGAGGCACGTTACTCTTTTATTCCCATGTCTAGGCAAAAATCTCCAATTGCAATTTCTTCCTGAGTCCTTGGATGGTGAGTGTCTCAGACAGAGCTGCCATTAGCAGAGGGCAAACATTTTAACAAATTGGGAAAGAGAGCTGGACCCTCCATGTCACTCACCTGTTAATCTACCTGAAGTCACAATCAGCTTAGACTTGAAAAAAAAGCATGGAGGCCATCTTCATGGGTCTAACTGTCGCCAGACCCCTGGTAGGGGGGTCATCTTGTATTTTGTGTCCCTTCCCCCATGAATGAAATTATTTTTCCCACGAAGCAAACACACTAGACAGGGGGTGGCAGAGGATGGCCCATGGGCCAAATCTGGTCAGCCTCCTATTTTTGCATGGCCCATGAGTTAAGAATGATTTTTGTATTTTTCAATGGTGGAAAAGAATGAAAAGAATCCTATACCATAGATCATGACATGTAAAAATTATATGGAATTCAAATTTCAGTTTCTGTACATAAGGTTGTATTGAAACAGCCATGCTCACTCATTTGCACATTGTCTATGGCTGCTTTCAGGCTACAGCTGCAGAGGTGGGTTGTTGTGACAGAGACCATCTGGCCCACAAAGCCCAAAGTGTTACTATCTGGCCCTTCCCAGAAGAAGTTTGCCAACCCTGTACTTGAGTCCTGAATGTCCTCGCAAGCCTGGTTTTGGAAGGACTTCGATGAGGAAGAGTTTGTTTGCCTCCCAGCCTTAGGATTTCTGCATCTCCTTTGCCCTGAAAACAGAGTCTGCAGAGCCCAAGATTTGGAGCGAAATCACAGGGGAAACCCACTTACATAGGATCCATAATCCACAGCCAGGGTCTGCAGGGCCCACGGGAGACCAAGGCCGATGAGGATGTCAAATACGTTGCTCCCAATAGAGTTGGACACGGCCATGTCTCCCATGCCTGCAAGGACAAGAGGTCAACTTGAATGAGGGAGGTTGATCTCAGGATAGGACAGGGGCTCCCCAAGGCACTCTCCCAACCCTTTGGTCTGACAGCCAGAGGCTTAGCTGGCAGATCTGTTGGCTCATTTGCTAAGGTGGTTCCCTCCCAGGCTACCACCTGTATTTTCAATATGCATTTTCAGTAGAAAGGAATGGAAAAGAACAGAACAGACTAGAACGAAATGCACGTTCTGACCTTCAGAAGGTCTGTTGACCTTCAAACGTGATCACTGGCAAAATGTGAATGATTCCAAAAACCAAACATAGTTCCCCAAATTCTGAAACTTCCTTCTAGAAAGGAATAAACTTGACAGTTCTATTAAGCCTTTCATAAGCTCACTGTGAAACTGATACATTTTAGTACCATCTCCCAACTGCTCTACACTGTCTTCAATTCTTTTTCTAAATAATTGAGCATTATTAAGAAAAAGAATATAACTAGTAGAATTTCGTGAGGACTTCTAGGGGACACTATGCTAAGTGTTGTAGTTACACATAGTGTTTGTTGAAAACAAATGCAATCTAGCACAAATCAGGCATATAAATTAGAGTGGGTGCTAGCGAAGGGTGTGGCCATCTGGAAGGGGTGTCCATTTGTGAGCTTGGATTTGAAGGAGGGGAGGCTGTGCCATACACTGAGGACTGACCTGTGGTAACCACCACTGTTGGGGTACTGCAGCTGGGTAGACCTTAGGCTATGGGGTCTGTCTTCTCTAAGCCTTGGTTTCCATATCCATAGAATGTGGGTCTGATTTTCCCCACCCCACAGAGTTGTTTAAATTAAATAAGATAACGTACCTAAACTGCTTTGCTCAGTGTGTGGCACTCAGCAAAGATTAGCTCTCGTTACATTTATTACTTCTCCAGAAGGGCCTCTGCATGCTACCTAGAAAATGTCTCTGCCTTTCTTAAGGGTAGATCTTCTGGCTTGTTTCCCTGTTCTTTTGATGCCAGTTAGCTTTTTGACCAACACAGCACGGAAGTCACCCATCACCCTGGTAATTGCCATGTGGATCCCCCAAAGCTCCCCCCACCCATAGGCCTTTCCCCCTCCCCCATCTCTGTCACCATTTAACTGGAGGTCCCACCTTGTCTGGCCACGATGAGGCTGGCCATGCAATCGGGCACACTGGTTCCAGCTGCCAGGAAGGTAATCCCCATGATGACATCAGGAATCCCCAGTGTGTATCCAATGATTGTGACCTGGAAGAAGCAGGAAGAGGTGGTGAGTTGGGGGCTGATGCCAACCCAACCTGTCAGTGGATTCTCTGCCCAAGAAGCACAAAAGGCTACAATCTGGGCGGTCTGCTCAGGGGGCAATGTCTGCTCTCGTTGTCAATGTAGAGGGCAAAGAACATCTCGCAGAGCAGACCAGGACTGCAGGTCTGGGGACCAGGGTGCAATTATGGAGTCCATGTTTTCCGACCAAAGATTGGCATTTCATACATGTTCCTTTCAGGTGAAGCAGGAGGACTGAGAGAGGAGAAACAGTTTCTGAGAAAAGGTGATTTGGGGACAGAATATTTGAACTTAGGATGGTCCCGGGAATTACAGAATGGAAAAGGTCATAAATGGGCATTCTGGATGATGCAGATGAATGCATTTCCTAAAATGGCTTTGGGGCAGAGGTTCTTTTGAGCCATAACCCCACAACCAATGCCAGTCCTTGAATCCTTGTTTTAGCTTAAGAAGGGACCCTTGAATGGTCACCTGGTCCAATGACCTTATTTTCTGGTTGACAAAACTGTGACTCAGTTAGAGGAAGTGACAATGACAGCTAGGATTATTACTCCCCAATTCCTCCCGTCTTTCCTTCATGCTTTTTGCCTTGTGGCTTTGCCACGCTAGAGCAGGTGGAGTGTATTTCCCCCACTCCATTGATATTGGGCCGAAGTCACAGGCCAAGGCCCTAGGAGGCACAGCATGTTTCCACTGGCCTTCTAGTATTCCAACAATCTGCCATGAGAAGAGCATTCCCCAGGCAGCCACGGGTCCAAGGAAAATGAGCAAACATAAGGGGTAGGCATGAAACCCATCTGCTGCCTGAATCACACATAACCATGCTGTGGCTTGAAGCAGAACCGCTCAGTCAGTGCCAGCTAAGATTAGTCAAACCATGCTCAACCTGCAGATATATGAGCAGGAGGAGAACTTCTTGTGATTCTAAACCACTGAGTATAGGGGTGGTTTGTTATGCAGCTTATTGAGGCATTAGCTGACTGATACAGTTACTGGGCTGGAACCCCACTTCCTATTCCCCTCTGATTGAGCATAGTTTTCTCTTTAAAGAGGTCTAGCAATGCTGTGGGGTCCTCAGTACACTCACCATCCACACCATCATGTAGGAGAAGGCTGCTATCCACAACGTGGAAGAAGCAAATGTCACCATAAACCATTTTTCCCAGCGGGGTTTGTTGCAGTTGGGTACAGTGAAGTATAAAACAAAACTCAGTGGCCAGGTGAACGCCCACTTCACTGTTTCCAGTTTTCCAGCTGGAAAAAGAAAAAAAGACAAAAACAAAAATTAGTTTCATTTCTGTTTTACCAGCCCTCCATGCTGCTTGCCTCAGACACTTACATCCTAATTGATGACCTGTGAAATCAGCCTTATTATGTTGTTCTTTTCATAAAAAACACAAACAGCTTTCCACCAGCAACAAAACCTGGCGTACAAAACCAAGCAGAATAAAAACAGTTATCCACCGCTCACCTGCTAGTTAGGCACCCAAATGACAGATGAGGCACCTCTGAGGATACAGGGCTGGGAGGGTGGTTGGTGCATGGGGCCAGGTGGGACAAGATGAGGAAGATTCTCAGACACAAAGGGTGGGGAGTGGGTAGGGGTGCAGGTGAAGGTTGGGGAGGGGAGCTGGAAGACCACCAGTTGGCCTGGGGTCTGTTCTCCCCATGGGTAGAGAAAATCTTGCCGGATTTTAAGGTGCCAGTGGTCACAGCGCCATCTAGTGGAATTTCTCAGCATTGCCAACTCACGAAATCCTAAAAGATGATTTGAAAGCTCTCAAGGTGGGGTTTGTATCTCAAGCTGATGTGAACTTGCAAATTTGTCATTGATTTCTGGCTCTCTAAATACCTGCTGCCATGGACGAGGTGATGGATTGGCTAGTGATGACCTGATCCTATCATCTCTGTGTTGCCTGAGCGCCATGTTTCAGAGATACTCATAAATGCTTATTTTGGCGACTTTGTGGCCATGAGTTCCTTGTAACCTCAGATTTGACAAACCTATCAATTCTCCTTTAGCCTTTATTACCATCCTGCTTAACTGCTTACACCTCTGGTAAGAAATATGTATTGTATACACTCTCTGCTTCAATAAAGAACAGCTCTGCCTTCCAGAAAGTTCCTCGAGCCTCTTTCCAGGCAACCTTCCACCCTCTACCACCATAGATTAGTTTTTCCTGTTATCCACCTTCAAATAAAGAAAATCACATGGTATGTGATTTTAGTCAATTATGTTCCTTTAGTCAACAGGTTTTTTGAGATCCATTCATGTGTCAGGAATTCATTCTTAATTGCTGTGTAGTTTTCCATCCTACGAATACACAGTTTATCCATTCTCCTGTGGACGGGAATTTGAGTTGTTGCTAATTTTCAGGTATTACAACTAAAGGGGCTATGAGCATTCTTGTACACTTTGTTTTGTGGGCATTTTTTTTTTCCTCTTGGGCAAAGACCCAGGAGTAGAATTGCTGAGTCACAGGGTGGGTGTTTATTTAACTTTGCAAGAAATTGCCGAGCAGTTTTCCAAAATGATCATCCCATTTTATATTCCCACCAGAGTGAAGGAGGTATTTTTTAAATTACACTTTGAACAGTGATTAATAAAATGTTAAATGAAATTTATTTCATAATTTTATGCCAGTATCTAGCACTTTTCCAATTAGCTGCTATGCAGATATGGAGCTGGGAATGGATGATGACATTGAGACTGTTTGGCTGGATTTCAAAGCAAGAAAGCTGTCAGAGGTTTTTCATGAGGGGCTTCCAAATGCTGTGGACTCCAGCATATCGTCAGACCCTTGGATCCCAAAGCCATCCTGGAATTCTGCGTGCTCCTAAATCCTGTAATGTGGTGATGTCATTTATCCATCTGGGGCTCTGGGGACCCCCTCACTGGCCTTGAAGTCTTCCTGATGCCCTCACAGAGAGAGACTTGGTCCAGCTTAAAAACACACACCCAATCAAAGTTACAAAGACACAAATGGGAAGAGAAATGACTGCAATCTGGATCTTTGCAATTCTTCAGAAAATAAAAAAAAAAAATAGAAATCGGAACTTAAGACTGTGGCAGCTTAGAAAATGATACTGAGTAAAGCTGCAAGCAGTACATTTTGGCACCAATGAATTTTGAGTTTTTTTCTCGGCTGCTTTAGAAAACTCTGACTTGACCCTTGAGGGGCCTTATATCTAGAAAACAGTTCTCTCCATTTATGATATGGATGCTTTCTCTAAGTTACAGCTCCACTGTAACAACAAACTTACAGGAGAAATTTAATCGGTATCAACTGGAAGGTAACTTTAAATGTAATGTAACAAATACAACTCCTTGAGCAAACCAAGTGATACAGAAATGTGCTTTTATTTAAGTGATTTTGAGGAGCAGGGGTTAGATAAGGAACATACTTATGTTTTGGTGTGTTCTTTTCAGTCTTTTTTCCCCTGAAAGTGTGTTTACCTACCTCCCCATGTAAATGTTTCTATTTCTGTTAGTCAACAGTAAGTGTTTATTCATACAGTGCTAAGAATATATGTACAACTTATACTATGCATAGGTGCATATAATTTACATATATACTATGTAGATTTAGCCTCTACACATATTATATGCACATGGAAACACAGGGATGTTAATATATGTGCACATTTTAGCGGGCTTAAATTTCAGTTTCTGAATGAAGGGGTAAAATGGTTTCCTTTCCTCTTTGAGTCAACAGTATTTCTGGACATTTTCCCATCTTTTCTTCCATTGCTGTATGTTCCAAACAGAGCCCCCCATCTGGCCCCCCAGGGGATAGGTTTATTACTTCACTTAACAAATATTCATTGAATGTCTTCCCCCACCCCCACCCCAGCCAGTCTATGCCAGGTCCTGCTCTGGGTGCTGAGGACAGAGCAGTGAGCTAAGAAAACCAAACTCCCAGTGCATGAACCTGATGTACCCGTGATTATGTGATTTCTCGGAAGGCAGCCAGCAGCTGGGAGATGAAGCCAGGGACATGAAGCGGGGACTCTGAGCATTACAGTATCCCTTTGAGTGTGACTTGGCTCTAAAAAGCAAAGGACCTGTTCTTAAGTTGTATTCCTTATTGAGTTTTTAAAGAAGCTTACTTCTATTGAGAAGAAAAGATCATTGCTCATTCTTATGGACCTAGAGTTAAATATATCAATTCGTTCTAACTATATAGGCCATAAAAATGTAGTGTTTTAGAATGAAAAATGTAGAAAAAATAAACAAGAATTCCATCTAGGAGAAACACACTCATATTTTGGTATACTTCTTTTCAGTCTTTTTCTGTGGAAGTATGTTTGCCTATGTACACATGCAAACATTTCTTCCTTTTCTTTCTTTCTTTTTTTTTGAAGAGAGAGAGAGAAAGAGTTCAAGCAGGGGGAAGGGAGACGGAAGGAGGGAGGGGGAGAGAGAGAGAATCTTATCCATGCCCAGCATGGAGCCTGATGCAGGGCTCGATCTCACGACCCTGAGATCATGACCTGAGTTGAAATCAAGAGTTGGACACTTAACTGAGCCATCCAGGTGTGCCCACATGTAAACATTTCTATTTCTGTCAGTCAATAGTAAGGCTTTCTTCATGCAAGAGATAAGAATACATGTGCAAATTATATGTATATATATGTGCACACACACATACTATGCACAGGTGTATATTCAAATATATATTATATGAATTTAACCCATACGTACATTATATGCACATATAAAAACACAGATATGTTAATATCTGTGCATAAACCATAAAAGCATACAACTCAATATAAAAATGTATACACTGTATGAATAAACATGTTATATGTATAGATGATAACCATACACGTGCACACTGCATATATGCACAGACTTTTATTCATATATGTACATGCATGTGCACATAGATGCATGCACAATATATGTGTCTACACATACATACATCCTATATATGCCTATATTTACATACTTCCACATAATTACTTATTCATTACTTACACTCACTACAGTCAAGTCCTGGACAGAAGAGAGCCCTACAGCTGAGTGACAGAAACACAGAGAGCCATGGTCCTGCAAGATTACCATGAGAGGGAAAAGTATCCTCATCATGTGCGCAGAGCTTTTTCAGGCCAAGGAACTTAGTGCAGAGGAACCAGATGTGGGGCTCCCACTGGGACTGGGTCCTTCCCGCTCCTTGAGTGGCCTCTGCTGGCTGGCTCAGTGCTGTGAGGGGTCTGCCTGCCCCAGGGGGCGCTTGCTGGACACACAGCCCGCGAGGCTCAGATGGAAGTTCCTGAGTCCCAGAAGGGGGTTTGGCTTCGGTGGTGGGAGGGAACAAAGGATCATAACTGGACAAACCCACTCTCCAGTTCAGAGGCAGCACCTGGCTCCGAATGAGGCTCCCCTAAGGCTCAACGGTGAAGATCACTGGTGTGACTCCAGGGTGCTACACCCCCACTGCCTCAGGTGTGGCCTGCCGACAACCAGCACCAGTGTCACCTAGGGGCTTGTGATAAATGCAGAATCTGGGGCCCCCCACCAGACCTCCTGAATCAGAGCCTGCATTTTATCAAGGATGCCCAGGTGACAGGGCTGGTCTAGAAGAACTTGAGTTCCACTTCCTTTCTCGGCAGCTCAGGGCCCTGGAATGAAGCAGAGACCCCCAGGAGTGGCAGGACCACGCAGAGCATCCTTTCTCCTCTCGTGCCTGACATTCCAAAGGAGGCAGGGTGCCTGGGGGGGTGGTTTCTGAGCCCACACCTGCAGCCACATCTCTTAGCACACACGAGGAGACAAGATGATGCGGCTGGGAGCCCCGGGCCGCCTCATCTGCAACTAACCACAGAGTCGAGGAGGGGAGGTGAGCAACAGTTACAAAATAGCTTGAAACCTCACAGTTAGGTCTGGTGTTTATCCCGTTCAGGTGAGAAAAAGGAAGTGAACTGAAAGGGGCCCTTTGTCCCACTAAGTAATGAGATCTGGTGGGAGTCAGAGGAGTTGTCTGGTGTCACACACACATCTTTGGTCGTCTGCCTGGAGGGGCGTACATGGGGCTTCGGGGCTTCTGGGGGGCCGACACTTGCCCCTTACAGACTCTTCACCTGGTCCGAGAGTTTCTTTCATCAGTGAAGGACTTTAGCAAAATAGGCGTTTTTGGAGCTTGGTTATGGGCTGCCAATGGTGAGCTCTGAAAGCAAAGGCCAGCCTAGGCAGAATTTTAGATATGGGCCCCCAAGAGTCTATACCCGATTCTCAGAACCTGTGAAGAGGAGGCTGAGCTACCATTCCACAACTGTGCTCTGCTGTGTGGCACAACAGACCTCCTCATGGAGAGGTTACGCACTCAGAAGCAGAAGGGGAAACCCAAGAGACCAGAAGTGTGAGAAGGACCCAAAGCACCATTGCTGATTGAAGAATGCAGGCCTCCAGAAGCAGTGAGCAGCTCCCGGCTGACAGCCAGCAAGGAAACAGGACCGAGCCGTCCAACCACAGGGAACCAGATTTTGCCAATAATCTGCATGTGTTTGGGAGTGATTCTCCCCAGGGCCGCTGGGAAGGTCTACAGCCCTGTCTACACTCTCATATGGCCTTTGGAGCCTCTGAAACCCAGCCAGGCTGTGCTGGACTTCTGACCTACAGAACTGGGGGCTAATCAACGGGTGTTGTTTTAATCCACTCAGTTTGCAGTAATTTGTTCTACAGCAATAGAAAATGAACAAAAAGTTTATAAGGGGGATACAGAGAGTCTGGTCGCTTAATCCTTAAAATGTTTTTGTCTTGTTGATAGGGAAGAAGGTTGCCAAGAAATAGAGTCAAAGATGGCAAAATGGATAAAGAGCCAGCATGCTTTTTTTTTTTTTATCAAGATAAGCTTCTAACAAGTAATGATTTAACTCTGGCTGGGTGGTTTGGGACTTTGGGGTATAGGATCTGAGTGGATTTTCTCTAGTTTTGGGAAGCACTTGATGAGGTTGAGATCTGAGGGGCAGTTCTGGCCCTAGTTTTACTTGCTATCCCCTGGACCACAGAAAGGCCTTACATCTGAAATTAACACAGAACTCTGCCACTCCACACCCACATCCTATCATTAAATGACCTTTCAAGTGGGTCAAGTAATACTTCCCCAGAACTCACAGGTCTCCTGTAATTTTAAACATCCTTGAGAAATCACACACTTATTAATTAAGCCTCTCACCCTTGACCAGGGTGCTTTCCTGAAGCAGCCGGAAACTTCTGGAAGGTCTAGCAAATAGGCAGAAGTCTTTGGGCTTGGTCTATCCGTTCCACTAATGGGTGGGGTCAGGGGACAAGGTCTCTTCAATGGCCAAATCATTGTTGGGTAGCAGTCAGGGGAGGATGCTGCTTTGGTGGCTGGGGTCCTGAAAACTATACATGCCTATGCTTTCCCTTCGCCTAAGTGTGAGACTTAGCTGGGGCTGGGATGCTTTTTGCCCAGGTCTATCTCCTGTGGTGTCTGTCCTGGAAACAAGCAGATCATAGGAGAGGAGAAAACTGAATGGGGTGTGGGAGGTAAGGGGCAAGAAGTGAGCAGGAGAACAAAGGCCAACTGGGAAGTCTGCATGTTTTGCCCTAGGGTGGCCTTGGCAGGACAGGTCCCCTGGCCAAATGTAATGGGATGGATGAAGATGGGTGAAGTGCCTCTTCCCTTGAGCACCAAGCTGCCTTCCCAACATGGGTCAAGTACATGTCCTCCTTAGCACCAAAAGGTCCCACAGAACAGCTAAGCTAAGCTAAGGGTCTTCCTTCACAAAGTGCCAACAAATTATACATTTGGTCAAAGAACCCACATTTCAACCAGTGATCATGTGTTCCCATCTTGTTCATCTCTGGACCCTCTAAAACAGAGTCTTGCCCACTGTAGAAGTTAATATAAATACTTCTATGTTCATATAGAGAGAGTTCTTTGAATTGAGTGTCAAAAGGATCACCAAAGTCAAGGGAATCTACTCAGTGGCCTCAAAATAGCTCCCAACCCCAGCCTAGACAAAGGACCTCTTACAGGGGAGGTCGAATGGCGTGTATGGTCCTTCGTCATCCTCCTCATCCTCCTCTTCCTCTTCGTCATTCTCGTTGTTCTCATTGTCCTCATTCTCATTTTCTGTCTCGTTACCAGCCTCGGCCACAACATCATCCCTCCGAGTCCCATTCACGCCTCTGTCTGGGGCACTGCTGGGCCCTGTCCCGTTCTCCACGGTGTGCTTAATTGGGATTTTGATGGCCACCTCGGATTCTCCATTGGCATAGGCCCTACTGTTTATCAGTCTTTGTCTCTGGAAAGAGAAAGGCACATTCTTACCACAGTCAGGGGGACTCTAGATCCTTACACCTAGAACACCGGGATCTTTTTCAGGCAGCTGACAAAAAGATGCTTCCAGGAGATTCTGCAGAGAAGTCTTAAGGGATTCCTCAAAGTAATAAGCAACTCAGACAACATCCTTCCGGGAGGAAGGATTAACCTTTTATGACCCACTGGAGCTTGCAAATCTCTTTAGAGGAAATTTCCTATGTCTCAGAGGCACTCTTCTTTTCTACCAGCATTCTTGAGTCCCTGTGCACTGCAGTATTATCTTCTCCAGACTGTAGGAATCCCTTGGACCATAGGTGAGAAAGCCACACAAATGTGTCTGGACTAGTATATCAATAAGGCTGCCACTCCAGAAAAAGGGATACACAGGAAAATTCGTGTCAGAGACTGCATTACTTTAAAGTAAGGCAACCTTGATTTAGCAAGTACTTCTGTGCAAGTTCACATCAGAGGGCTTCACCCAAATGGAAGATGAAAAGAAAAAGGTAGGTAGAAGGGGACAGGAGAGTTTTTCTATATAACTGGGAGCCTGATCATGTCTTCCAACACATGGAGGGAAGAGCAAAAACCAGGATGCACAGCTGGCCCCATGAGCAAAGATGTTGGGAAATAGCTGAGGGATATTATTGTGTTAAATGTTGAGCTTGGTATTTCTATTCTCAGACCAAGAAAGTTTCTCCCCTTCCCAAAGTCTCCCATCTCTGTCCAGTGGCAATGGAGTGTGCTTTCCCAGATACCTCATTGATCAACATGCGACTGGCCATGGAGAGTCGGGTCTTGGGGGGAAAGTGGCTGGTGATCATGATTCGAAGTCCAGCCTCAGAGAAAGAAAGCTGGTGAGGGTAGGCTGACAGCAGCTCGTCTACCATAATCACTGACGCTTTGCGGTGGAAATTGGCTAGGGAAATTAAAAACATAAAATAAGGATAACATTGAGGTTAGGAGCAGAAAAGAGATATTTCTTTAGTCTTCTCTCCATTCCTCCCTCACCTCTCCCTCCCTCTTTCCTGTTTATTCATTTATCCATCCATCCATCCATCCATC